TATAAATTGTCGCTTCACATCAAAAAGGCGAGCGCTTCGCTGCGCGCCTCTCGCCTCAGTGAAACGGGCCCTCGTCGCTATTTGTCGCCGCACGCTATCCAAAACACTGGGAAGCACAAAGAGTGGTTGAATTCTTGTGTGCACTAGAGCAGTTTAGTGGATTACAAGCAGGTGAAGATGCACTATGGTGACAAGGCAGCGGTAAGGGTTTATTCAGAGTTAATGCAGCTTACAAGAGGATGAATTACTCCAATCAGCAGATAGCCAATTGGCCTTGGAAACACATCTGGAAAACAAAAATTCCTCACAAAGTTGCTTGTTTTGTGTGGCTACTGGCTAAGGAAGCAGTCCTTACACAAGATAATTTGATGAAAAGGGGTTTCAGTTTATGTTCTAGATGCTTTTTGTGTGGGAAAACAACAGAGACAATTAACCCTCTCTTCCTTCACTGTATGATAACATCTCATCTATGGAGAATTATTCTTAACCTCAAAGGCATTTCCTGGACCATGCCTGGGAAGGTTATAGATACTCTTAAAAGTTGGGAGGAAACATGACTACATGCAAAGGACAGGACCAGATGGAGAATTATGCATGCTTGCATTTGGTGGACAATTTGGAAAGAGAGAAACTCCAGATGTTTTGAGAACGTGGAGAATGGGGTGCAGAAGATCAAGTTAAACTTTATTTTGCTGTTGTGTTTTTGGTGTAATCAGATCTACACAAATGATACTGACACCATTATTGATGTTTTAGAGTCAATATAGAGAATGGTAGTGATAGTTAGACTCTTGTATATATGGTTTCAGTACTACCTACGTACTGTTTTGCTACATATGAAATTTAATATGTCAGACGTTTTTCGTTTATCTCAAAAAAATTAAAGAAAATTTAATATGAAATTTCTATGTCAGACGTTTTTCGTTTATCTCATTCTCGGATTCTCCTCTTGATCAATATTCTCTCCTTGGTTTGTAAGTTTTCCACCTAATGTCTCATAATTTAGACATATTTTTATAACTTTACTTTTAGATATTTGAATTATTTTTAGGTGAATTCTCGCATCGTACATACCTGGATCCATACTCCCGAATCTTAAAATTTAGATCATAAAGGAAATTTAGATCATAAAGGATTCGACCTCTAGATCCGCACCCGTATCTCACACCCACACCGAGTCCTAGGAACTATGGTTATAATAACATACCTAGTATAATCCCACAAGTGGGGTCTGGGGAGGGTAATGTGTACGCAGACCTTACCCCTATCTGGAGAGGTAGAAAGGCTATTTCCGATAGACCCGCGGCTCAAGATAAGGTGTTAAGGAAAAAGGAATAAAAAGGAATATGCACCAAGAACATCGTCTACAAAGAGAAGTCAACTTACCATATCGTTATCTCGTACAATAAACTATCTATTGTTCCAAATACTATCTAACTCTCCTAATATCTTCGACATTGCAGGTTTCGAAGATATACAATTACTTTAAATTCAACAATTGTGTCAATGTAATAATATTTATTCTCCCGTTTAAATTAATTTTGCATCTATCTCGACGTCAATTGTTATTACCCATAATTCATTCTTATTCTATATTCTATCCTCTCTTTTATTGATAGGCGCATAATGCATGTGCATTGCACGTACTAAAACTAGTATATCAAGATGGACAACCGAACCTATTTCTCAATTCCTAAGTTGCTCCGACATGACAGTTTAGGTGCCGTACCCGTGTCGACACGACACTAGTATGGGTGTGGGTATGGGATCCGTACCGGATCTGGTCAAACGATTTTGGATACTTTGAGCACGACAGACGAAAAAATTCGAGACGATATACAATTTACTTCCCGAAATCAAAACCAAAATTAGGATAAATTTGAATAAAATAGCATACTTTATCTAGGAAAATTAATCATTTTCTTATCTACAACTTGAGAATAAAAGAGAAATTCACACTTTACAAGCTATACATAAGTATTTTCCAAAATTTATCATAATTTAGAAATATTTTTTATATTTTTATTTTTTTAATTATTTTTAGCCGGATCCTTGCACCCGTATCCGTACTAAGATCCGTATCCACGGATCATAGAATTTGCATCTCGAAGGATCCGACCTCTAGATCCGCACCCATGTCGTACACCTGCACCCTAGTCCGAGCAACTTAGCTCAATTCACTCTAAGATGTGAACATGGTCCCAATAGAGATGCAAAAAGTAGGCGATCACGTGTATTCCCAGTCCTAAATGAAGCAGAGCACCTGGGGGAAGTTTTTTTTTTTAATAACTGATAAATCCCCGAGTTGATACTCGGTGGATAATGGGCTCGCTCGTCTACCTGGAAAAACTCTTAAGGGAATTTTCATCTGAGGATTGGATTCTTTTACTGCAAACTTGTGAAAAGTTGCATGAGATATGTCGAAGTTTCTTAAAGTTGGAACAACATTAAATACTCCTAAAATGGTGTAGATGTGATTAAGTAGATTACTGATGGTCCTTATTCTCTGTTGTACAGCTACCTTCAAATTGAAAATGGCTGCTTTAGGTTATTGTGCTGTTGGTGACACCATTGATGCCAGTTAGCCCTGCCTGGGTTATATGTGATTGTGTTTCCATGTGCTGGGATTGTTACGCTTTGTGCCAAAACAAGTTTTCTAGTTGGTTGCTGTCACTTAATTAAAATATGAGTAAATGGTATATATTTGGAGGTGCTGTCTATCACTCCACCTCAACTGCTTTTCCATTCTTTTTTTAATCCTTTGTTGTGTTGGAATGGTGGTTAAAACCTTCCGTTCCATTTCAGTTGTTTTACTCCTTTGGAAGTAAGCTATCTAACTTTGGCTTCTTTTTTGCTGATTTTCAATGGCTATATGCTTTGCAGGCATGCTACAGCTTCTGTTCCAAAATCCAAGTCAAAGAAGAAGGCAAAGAAAACAAAGTTCAAATCTTTGAAGAAAGGAGGTCTAGCTTCTGAACCTCAAGCTTTAAAGGACGGGTCTTCAATAGAGTTGATGACCATAGATGATGATGTTCTATCTAGTGATCCAGTTACAACGCCTGATTCTGCTCAAGAGAGAAAGCGTAAACTAGCAACGGGTGATGAGGATGTGAAAAGCGCGAAGAAGTCTAAAAAATTGAAGAGGTCCTCTGAGGTATCTTCTCTGGTAATGCATTCATCTTATCATGGCAAGCATTCATCTTATCATGGCAAGCGGCCGGTTGAATCTAAAGAATTGAAGCGGTATGATGGTGGCACCGTGGATGTCGAACTCAGACCAATAAGCAGAAGCAGGATGGGAGGGAAAATCTCAATCAGTTCAATGCCTGTAAAGCGAGTTCTTACTATTAAATCAGAAAAGCCGATTAGGAAAGGTAAACTATGGTATAAAGATTATTTTCCATCCGCTGATTCATGGTTGCCACAAGAGGATGCTGTACTTTGTGCTTCTGTTCATGAGTATGGTCCTCACTGGAGCTTGGTGAGTGATATCTTGTATGGAATGACTGCTGGCGGAGTTTATAGAGGAAGATATCGTCACCCTGTTCTTTGTTGTGAAAGGTACAGGGAACTTATACAGAGATATGTGTTATCTGCGACAGACATTGTAAACGATAGATCCAACAATGCTGGCTCTATAAAAGGTCTTCTCAAAGTGACTGAGGTAAGCTAGATTTCTATTTCATCTCCCTTGCTTTTGAAGGAAACTATTAAATTAAAAAAAGAACAAAAAAGAAAGAAAGAATCATCATTAGTTAAAGAGTAGAACAAAAGGTTTAAGGAACTTAAGAAGAAAATTCTTCAGTGCTTCCCTTTATTCTTGTATTAAGGGTAGGGACCTTGGCGAGAATGAAACAAAAGGAGATTAAATGGATTTTACGGTTGAGAAACTATGTTGGATCGTAGTTTTAGGTCCCGCTCAAAGTTGTGTAAGTTATCTTTAAGTTGAAGACAGTTGTTTCTTATTGCTCATTTGGGGAAATTGATGTATGTGTTTGGAGATGCATAATTGACAAATGGTCAATGTTGCAGGTAGAGTTATAAAGAACATGACATATTGTTTTACCTTGTGATAGAGGAGAACATACTGCATTATAAGACTGTTTCTTCCACTCCACCTCAATTAGTCTTTGCTTATTCCCATTTGGAAGATGATTAGATGCTCTTCTTTATCATAGATGGCCTTTTCCAACTTAATTTTTCCAAGCTGGCCCTGACACCACCGCCATTAAAAAAAAAAAAGAGGCTAACTTTTGGTGGAAAGAACTGCTCTTGATGGGCTTTTAAGTCAGTTTGCCAGTTGGCTCTCCGTTTAGTATCAGTTTGCTAGTTGGCTCTCCATTTAGTCATATTTTTTTTTTCCTCTGCATGGTTGCTTTTGTTGTGCATGTTCCTTCTTTTCTCTCTCAGTTTTTTTTTAATCGTTTGTAATATATATGAGATAGTAAGTCATTTTCCATCGTGTCTCCTCTGTACACATTGGCTATAGACCAGATATATGTGTGGAAGTCTTGTATGCTTAGTGTAATGATTTTAGTCTTTATTCCAAATATGTCTTTTGACGTCTGCAGATGTGCTCTTAGTTGTAAAACTTTACTTGCATCAAATTGGCAAATTGTGGTGTTTGGGGCTGGGGTGGTTTTGGGATACAAAGGGAAGGGGGAAAAGTTTAAGTCATGCTTCTATTTGGTGGTTGAATGGTGAATTGGTTGAGGGAAAGGGTTATAATCAACTGAAATTTCTACATCAAGGTTTCTATAGCTGGCGAAGTCAATCAGCTGCTTTAAAAGATTTTCCTGAAGTTGAAAAAATTAAGTTATACCGTAGCAGTGTAATGCTCAACCAAAACCCCCCCTCCAGGAGAAGAAAAGGGTCCCCCCCTCCAGGAGAAGAAAAGGGTCATGTTTGTATTTGGCTAACTTTTCTGTTCCTCTTTTCAGGAAAATGTCCGACTGGTGTTAGATATTGCATCAGAGGTTCCAGATCATGAGCCCCTTGTTCAAAAGCATTTCTTTGCCCTTCTTTCCTCTGTGTGGAAAATGTCATGCCGGAAAAGCCAGACAAATGCGTTCTCATCTTCCCAGAATGGCTTCTATCATTCTGGAAGTTTGTTTACACCAACTTTGAACCTTGTTTCTACGAAGGGACCACTGGAAAAGAGATTTTCTAATATAAGTATATGTGCCAAGTTAGTAGCAGCTGCTCTCTCTGACCAGCAGAGTGCACAAAGTGATGAGAGAGTCTCCATTTGTGACCAGAGAGAAGAAGCTTCTTTTCCTGCTGAGCAGTTGGATGTTACACTGGAATTTGGGGCAGAGAAAGATGATAAGACAATTCCCTTGCCATCGCCTGTAACTGTTAAAATACGTGGTCCTGAATCCCCATTGCCTCCAAGAATGATGATAGCTGAGCATCATCATTTCAAGTCTTCCCTGAATGTGGCTGAAAACCGGTTCTGGTATGTGATCTTGCAACTCTACTTTATTTTATGCTTTCAGTTAAGTGAACGGAGTTGACAAGAGTGGGTTGCTCTAGTGGTGAGCACCCTCCACTTCCAACTAAGAGGTTGTGAGTTCGAGTCACCCCAAGAGCAAGGTGGGGAGTTCTTGGAGGGAGGGAGCCGAGGGTCTATCGGAAACAGCCTCTCTATCCCAGGGTAGGGGTAAGGTCTGCGTACACACTACCCTCCACAGACCCCACTAGTGGGATTATACTGGGTTGTTATTGTTGTTGTAGTTAAGTGAACGGAGTCAAATGATAACCTAGTTAAGTGGTTTCAATCTATCAAGTAAATTACACTAATCTCTTTCCTAGGTTAAATTATCTAAGACATCCATTCTAGTTTCTAAAAGTATAAGCAATCCTTAAGTGTTTGAGGCATTATAATGACATTGTGGTGTTAATTTTTTTCTATAGCACGGTGTTAGACTTGATCGCATCTAAGTTTACATGATCATAAAATTAAGAATAAAAATATCATATTAATTGGAAATGTAAGAGCTAGAAAAGATTCTGGTGTCTCCTTATTCTCCATCATTTAGAACCACCATGGGTGTGTTTGGTAGGAAAGGAAAATGTTTTCCATGGAAAATGAGTGGGTTTATATTTTCCCTTGTTTGGTTGGTGAGTGGAAAACTTTTTCCGGAAAATAGTTTCTAGTGTTTGGTTAGAGAGTTAAAAATAACTTTTTAGGAAAATATTTTTTTATGTACTCTCCTCACCCCCCCTTCCCCCTAGTCCACATGTTTTCTTGCTCCTCACCCCCCGGGCCTATCAAATACCCAACGTTTTCAAGACTCTATTTTCTTCAAGAATTTAATTGTTCTTCTAAAAATTCACACAAACTCAAAGGAACTAATGTGATACTTTAAAGGAAAATACTTTTTCTACATCATGAAAAGAAAATACTCATTTTGAAAATAACTTTTTAGGAAAATATTTTTTTATGTACTCTCCTCACCCCCCTTCCCCCAATACTTTTACTTATTTATTTTGTTGAAATGAAAGGAAATACTTTTTCTACATCATGAAGAGGAAGTAACTTTTTTGTTAAAATAAAAAAAAAAAAAATTCTATCTATAACATAAAAAAGAAAGTACTATTAATAATATTTTTATTTAGNTTGATAGGGAAAACATTGTCCTCTAATTTGAGGAAAATGAGTTCATGAATAAAATGTTTTCCAAAACATTTAAGCCGATCAAACATGGGAAAATTGGAAAACATTTTCCGGAATATGTTTTCCTTCGTACCAAACACATCCTATGTCATTCACATTTTCTTTCTAAGATCCAAGTGAGGCAGGAAGCTGTCCTGAAAGCAAATGTAACGGTCATCCATACTATTTCGAGCTTATCTACTCTATGGTTATGCTCTTAAATACTTGAATTTGAAAATATAAATTCAAATGGACCATTCTCCTCGAATGTAATTTTGGAAGCACTATCGAAGTTGGTAGGCATTCAAATTTAATGGGTACAAATGACCAAATTAATCAATCTTCTCATCTAATTTCATATTTATGCAGGGGTTAGGATTTACATGTTAATTTTCTGCTTTTAGGATTTACATGTTAATTTTCTGCTTTTCAGGGCTGCATCAAGTACTGAAGGTTGTTTGGATTGGGCTTCTCTTGCTTTTCCTGTTGGGGATGCCAAGTCACAAACTCCATTGAAATCACAATTTTTGGGGAAGCACAAGCTCTCTGATTCTGTGAAAGTTTCCAAATCAAAGTCCAGAAAGATTCCAATGGAATCTAGTGATGTTGGTCAGACCAAGGATCTAGTTATCCTGCCAATGCCATCTGCATCTAATGATTCCTGTGCAAGAGCTGATGTGGGATTATCGTTCCTCACAGAACGTGGACATGATTTTGAAGACAGGACCTTGTTTGACCTAAATTCAGAATTTAACTTGGGGAGCGAGGATGTATTCCAACATGAATATGTTCCTGACTTCATATCGGGACTTGACGATTGGTCAGTGTTTCCAGAATTCACGGATATCGGGTAGATACCAAAATGTGAACTATGATATCACCTGGGAGTAGTGGCAATTTGCTCTAATCTTGGAGGCAAGAAACCTCTCGGGCACCAAGGCTTGGGATCATGAAGGTGCTCTCAGGGTTCGATAAGGCAGGAAAAATCTCGTTTGTTGGATGCCGATGAAGAGACAATTGGTTTGCCGTGGCAGCAGTTTACATGCCTGGACATTGATGGCCAGAGGTATTTGGTGGACATGAAAGACGTAGGAAAATGTAAAAATAGCAATTGATGTAAGTAGGGTGTAGGCTGCTTAATTTTTTCATTTAGTGGGAAATTTGTGCTCGCAAAATTTTGGAGGATGCAGTCAAATTCATTTGTGTAGGCACACAATTTCCCTCTTAGCTTTCGGAAAAGTTAGCTGTTTAGTGATCTAGTCATTGAAAGGAAAGGTTATTTCTACACTTTCTGTCTCTCCTTTTCTCTCTCAACTCACTCATTGGATTCCCGCACCCGCTCCAACCTCCAAGGGGATAATTTAGAGTCAAGTGGCCACAATTAAATCACAGTTGGATGATCTTCTAGTCGTGCTTGTGCATGCGTGAACTGGTCTCTGCACAGTAATTGAGCACCGATAAAATAAATGAAATTGTGAAAATGGGATCTTACAACAATCTTAGAACCTTGAAATATACAGTATCTTGTTAAATTGATTTACAACAATTAGTAACTCTTCACTACGAGTTATTTGCATATTAAGTTGGTCTATTACAATTTATAACACTTCACAGCGAGTTGTTTGCATTTAAGATGTATGTATCATTTTATGATTTGCTATTTATCATCTAAAGTAAATTGATTTTAACCTTAACTTAATAATATTTCCATATAAACTCATAAGAAAGGTATCTTGCAAATGCAAGGGCAAAAAAGGAATGCAATATTTTCTCTCTTTTAAACAAAGAGGCTTAGATAGAGGCAGAACCAGGGTGAAAAGGAGGCGCACTTTGCTGCTTTCCATTTTTTGTGGCAAGATCTAGCTAGTTGCTTAATGATTTTATTAGCAGAGATTGCCTCCTTCTAATGTTATTTGTATAACAATAATTCATTATAAAAGTTAAGTTTTTTTTCTAAATCGATTTTATATTATATTTTACCTTACTATAATAATTTTTTATCTATAACAATATCCATCTTTATAACAGTATTTTTTTTTTGTTAAAATTATCCCCCTCCATAACAGCCATATAAAATCTCTAAGATTATCAAAAGTAAGTCTAAAGATTTTGACCAAATATTTTAAAACTTTAATACACCACGTATGATAAAGAATATTATGTTACTTCCATAGTTAAAGATTTCATTCAATTTCTTTAAAATATATCTATATTTTCATTTCATTGCACAAAAGTTTAAATCTTTGCACAATAAATAATAAATTTATTAATAATGTATTAGTTTTTTTTAATATTTATTTAATAAAATATGCATATGTTTGAGATTAATTTAAATTATTTTCTTATGTTTTATATGTAACATTAAAAAAAGAAAAAATTAACTTTTGGATAGTTTTTATCTATAACGACCAATTAATATGTAAACTTCAAATGTTGTGTTGTAAGTATATAACAATTATTTACTATAAAAGCCAAAAAAATCAGAACAAACAATTAGAGAGACTTAACTGTAACTTACCATAACAAGTTATATTAAACTGGTGTTAAAAGTATTAACACTGTATATGGTCGAAATAGATTTCGGCCTTCGTACGATTGATCGAGATCGAAACATAACAGATCGAAGAAAGACTTCGTAATATCGAGATGAGTTCCAAAGATGGCATAAACAAGTTTCAGATTTCAGGTATAAGTCCGAGTTCGAAGTCATTATCGAGCTCGAGTCCGAACCGAACTATGATGAGATGATTTCGAGCTTAAGGGGCGGAGGCCAACCGGGACCGAGTCCGAATCATCACCTGATCCTGAGCCCATATCGAGCTCTAGAAGTAATACCGACCAGCACCGAGGCCGATCGAGCTCGAGCTCACAGACAAGAGCTGTTGCAAACACACTAAGGGAGAGAATCTCGGCGAAAATTAGGGAAAAATTGATTTATCATGGGTTCTCCACTATATATTTTTAATTATATCTAAAGTAGGATCCTTCACTATAAAGAGGATGATTACATTTCTTTAGAGGACAGTTTTTGTTTACATTGTAATTCAAGCACTATATTCTCCTATATTCGAGAGTTATTCTTTAAAGCTTCATTAACTGATTCAACTTGCTTATTTTTGGAAATTATCTTCTTTCCAACCTTGCTTATTTTGCATTCTTGGCAATCCATATTTTATATTTCTATTTGTCCTTACGATTTGTATTAAGCTATACCACATATCCTTAGAACTACGTACAAATTCAACTCTATCCGTTTTTCGGGTAAATAGTTTGGCACCGTCCGTGGGGCTATTTTTATTTCGAGTTCGAGCAAGCACTCACTCGACCATTATGCCTACGAGCTACATTACTTCGAGTTCGAATTATTCACTCGACTACTAAGCCTACGAGCTATTTTTATTTCGAGTTCGAGCAAGCACTCACTCGACTATTACGCCTACGAGTTATATTACTTCGAGTTCAAAACATTCACTCGACTAATAAGCCTACGGGCTATTCTTATTCCGAGTCCGAGCAAGCACTCACTCGACCATTACGCCTACGGGCTATATTAATTCGAGTTCGAATCACTCACTCAACTAATAAGCCTAAGGGCTACATCATACTTCAAGTTCAAACNCCGGGAGCGGTCTCTTCTCCATCGGGATCCCCCCGTTCTCGAACCCGCTCTTACTCCCATCATCATCATCGTTATCATCACCGTCATCATCGGAAGCCAAGGCTTCAGCATCGGCTTCGAGTTCTTTAGCCCTTTTTATCTCTTCAGCGAGATCGAAACCTCGAGCATGGATCTTCTCGAGGGTCTTCCTCCGAGATCGGCACTTAGCAAGTTCAACGACCTAATATGCTCGAGTATCGGCGGTCTCGGCTGCTTCTCTTGCTTGGACCTAGGCAGCTTTAGCATCGGCCCGATAGACGGCCACGAGTGCATCCGCATCGGCCTTTGCCTTTTCGGCATTAGATTCGGCCTTGGCAAGTTCAGAGGCCAACCGAGCCTCGAGCTCTTCTATTCTTCTTACTTGAACCAAGCCTTTCTCCTTCATTTTTTGAAGTTGGTTTTCGGCCGATGATAATTGGGCTCGAGCAGCTTCTTTCTCTGCAGTAAAGCGGTCCATACCTTCTTTCCACTTCAAAGACTTCACTTTTATCACATCGACTTCTTCACGGAGTTTTCCGATCATCTCAATTTTCTGCTGCAGCTGTGAGATCAAAAATTTAGCCAGCATTCTAGTATCGAGCCCATAGGCTTTTAAAAGTATTATTACCTGCTCGGACAGATCAGTCTGATCTTGGTGAGCCTTCGCCAACTCAGCTCGGAGGTCTTTTATTTCCTCTCCCCTTTTCCCTAAGAGGAGTTTTAGGAAGTTCCTCTCCTCCGTAACCCGTTGAAGGTCGGCTTCATATCGACGCAGCTCGGTTCGGGACCGAGAACATGCTTCTCGATGAACTGCCGCAGCCTGCAAAGAAAGAAGAAACAAAGTTAGAAAAGAAAGGCAAACATAAAGGTAATACCAATAAAATAATTTAAGGCTTACCTGATTCAAAGCCTGCTGCACCCTGTGAAAAAGATTTGATGCATCACTAGTACCGGTAATGTCCTCGACACCGGTAAACAGGTCACGGAAAGGATCCTCTCCATCATGAGGCCTGTCTAGTTCGAGGGCCCCCAAAGCTTGGGATTCCCAAATCGCCCCTACAGAAAAAGCAGGGAAGGTGGGCGAGTCTTCGATTGCTACTGCCCCAAGTGAATTACTTGGAGCATTCTCTTCGGTTCGGAGAGATTCGAGCAGAGTCCCTTCAGACATATCCCCCATCCGTTGGCTTAGATGGGAAGTATCTTCGATCTCCAATAACTCGGGTACTCCGCCCGAATCTTTCTCCGATATATCCTCAGTTCGAGGCGGAGCCTTATGAACCACCATCGATCCAGCTGCCTGTGGAATGTCGGTAGTCTTCTTCATTCGGGCCGCCAGCGTAGACCCATCATTTTCTTCTTCTTCTTCTTCTTCTTCATCTTCATCTCTTAGATGTAGAACTGATTCTATGGTCAAAGGAATGGTATTTTTGTTCGGCTTACGAGCCGTCCTCTTCTTCGATTTTGGATCTTCGGGAACAGAGACTCTTTTTCTTTTATTATTTTTCACCTGCTTTGGAACAGAGGCCGAAGCCTCTTCCTCGACAGACGAGGGCCTCAAAATCGCATCTTTGCCCACATCTATATATGGGAAATTTTATTAAAGTATATGGAAAAGTATCTCGTTCGAACCACCAAAAAGTACGAGGGCCTTACCGTGATTTTTGGCCTCCCATCGGCCCTTTGACAAATCATGCCATGAGCGCTCGGCGTATGTGGAGGTCGAAGCTAGAGCTCGTACCCAGTTCTTGAGATCGGGAACTGCTCCGGGCATCCAGTGAACCGCTGCATCACAAAAAGAGGAATATCGATGAGAAAAGAAGTGAAAGGGCAAAATAGAAGGAAGTAATAGCAGAATTACACTTACGTTTCATATTCCACTCCTCGGAAAAAGGCATCTTTTCAGTCGGAATCAGGTCCGAAGTCCTTACTCGAATGAACCTGCCCATCCAGCCTCGATCCCTATCCTCGTCAATGCTCGAGAGCAGAGCCTTGGTGGTCCGACGCTGAAGTTTTATTAACCCTCATCGAAAAAGGAGAGGATGGTACAATCGGATGAGATGGTCGAGGGTGAACGGCATCCCCTCGATTTTGTTCACAAAGTATCAAACCAAAATAACGATCTGCCAAAAAGAAGGATGGACCTGGCCTAGGATTATTTGGTATTGACGGCAGAAGTCAATAATAACAGAGTCGAGGGGACCTAACGTAAAAGGGTAAGTATACACACTTAAAAATCCTTTCACGTAAGTGGTGATATCTACGTCGGAAAAAAGGATTATTATTTCTTTGTTCTCCCAATTGCAATCTTTCTTTAGCTGTTCGAGGTGCCTCTCGGTTATCGAACACATGTACCTCGATACTGGCTCACATCGGCCGGGAACCGAGGAGCCTTTAATGACCTTAAAATCAGAGGTAAGAACACACGCCCCAGGAACGCACTCCTCAGGCCGTGGCTCTACCGGTGTTTCGTCGGCGGCAGACTGTGAAGATGAAGCTTTCTCTTTCTGAGGAATGGTTTGTGATGTTTTCGTCATTTTCAAATTTAAAGGTTGAGAATAGAAGAAAGTGACAAAGATTTGGTAATTTTGAAGAAGGGCTTTTGCAAAGAGGAATCATAGATGTGAGAATAAACTCAGAGGGTACGAAAAAGAACTTGGGA